TTTAGTTAGAAATTGATGATTCTAACAACCATTTTTCCAATTGTTGATTGTTGTAGAAATTTTGATCTGAATGAATACCCAGCTTGCTACAAGATCAACAATTCTACAAATTTGGGCGCTTTGATTTATTTTTTATTTTTCTACCAATAATTACAACCATTGAAATCGTTAAAATACAATAAAAAATTGATGGAACTCTAACTCCAAAGGAGTATTTTCATTGAATTTTTTTGTTGAAATTTTTTGTTGGAATATATATTGAAAATACTATTAGAATATGTTTACGTTGAAATTTTTTTCTCCAAATTTGATAATTTTATTGTATTGCAAAATCAACTGAGAGTATAATGTCGTTTCTAACTCGACGAAATGCAGGCATCATAGGAAGACTTAGATTTATTATTTGCAAAACTTTAATATATGGAAAACTCTACCTTTTATTCAAAGCAATACATTGATGGGGCATTTTATCAGCACAAAGCAAAAAACTCTTAACAAATATTAATTGAAGAATTTTGGCCGTTTACAACATTAGAGGTAATGTAATATTGGAAATGTTGCGTAAACAAACTAAGTTCATGAAACAATAACTATTTATCAGAAAGTGCTTTTATATTTGGCTTCTAATTCAGTACTTGAATTTCTTATTCCAGAAGAATTTTAGTTGAATTATAAACTTGCTCAAATTAATAACAAAATAAAGTACGTAACTCACAAATAAATGAACATGTACAAAAATCCAGATTCCAGATTGTATCCGGTCAATTCACGCTCAATTAGCAACTCAATATATAATGCTAAAGCAAATTAGATACTTTAAAATTTATTAGTTTATATGGTCAAATCAAGATTTTTAGACGTGCTAAACTGAATTTATGCATCATGATAAGTCAATTTAAAAAAAAAAATCTAACAAGCGCATAGAAATGAGTGTACTCGACCAATTTGATTTACGTGTTGAGATACTATGGTATTATAAAGTTCCAATCATTATTAGGCATTTATGTCAGTTTCATTATTGAGCTATACACGTCTACCGGATCGAATCAAACTGGCGGCCCCTTGAACAACAGATTGAAACCATTGATTATGGGTCAAAACTCTGTCCAATTGCGGTTTATCGATTGTTTTTAATTTGATTTCAGTTTGGAATTATTTCCTGCGCAAATCGGACATTTTTTTTTTTGTCAAACGATAGATTTCATAAATAAACACATAATTGCACACTAGAAATTTTAATCGGACATTTGAAACACCAAATTTTAATCGACAGTTTACAGTTTTGAATCAAAAGCGAACGAACCAAATGAATTGTTAGTTCTGAAACTGAAATTGTGAACCGATGTTCCTGAAAAAATCGGTCGGTGGTGGAGATGTCTGTTTTGAGCTACACCATGTTTGATGATGGACCACCCAAAATGCATAAAAGGAATTGATTATCCATGAAGAAACTTGAAGATTTGGCTTGTGGACCAAACATTCCTTTGTGTGTTCCATTCATGACAGCCATATTTGTTAAAAGGGACCAAAAAGGCTGCCGGATTTGTGTACGTAATTTCCTTGCTGGCAAATAACAAACTGGAAAAGCAACAAGCAAGAAAAGCAAGAATTACCTGTTTTAATTTTCTTTTCCCCCTTCAAATGACTTTGTGGATTCACTGATTTCATGTAAAATTAGAGAACATAAAATAAAAATTGAACTAAAATTACTAATGAGAACAAAGTGAATTTGGTGGGTTGTTACTTATACGCTAAAAGGCACAAATTTATTCATAAATGACAAAACTACACTCGCAAATCCTTGATTTCTCCCAACCCTGACCACAACTTCTCAACCACCGAGAATATTATCAAGAAAGAAATATGAACAGTGTTTTCTCCTCAATATCAATTTCCGCCCAAGGTGTGAATGGCAATGTTTTTTCTACAACAACTCCGCCAATCTTAAAAGCATCAGAGTACTATTCACGAGAAGATTAGATCTCAACATTCATGAATATGATATGCTTAAATTAAGATCTAAATATGACATCAAATGAATATGATAAGCTTACTGGCTTACAAATCTGCTATCATCATCATCTTTAACCTAATCTACCAAAACAATAATCATAGTAATCAATAGAAGTTCGAAAGGCGGGTCATATCAGACTCCACCGTTAAAACACAAGGAACTAACTACAAGGACAAACCATGGATTTTTAACCGTTGATCAACACATACACACGTGGACATGTGTAAATACGAACCAATGGTAAAAAATCAAGTACAAACATTGTACACCACTGGTGGGATTGAATTTTCCTATACAAGGATTATGTTGCTTGTAGTAGTCCGTCAGTAGACTTTGTCTGGGCCATTTAAATCATTGTTTGCAGCACTGAGAGTCTGAGACATTAAAAGGCACCAACACAAAAGGTCCAAAAAATCCAAAAACATCAAAAGAAAGCTTAGAATGTGCAATGCAAAATAAGCAGATACACTGAATCTACAACATATCACAACACCATAATATCCATTTGCTTATCAAAACACGCATTGCGAAATTCCACGATAACGACTTTCAGGGTTCTATTAGAAAATAAATTGGCCCAGGACATGCAACTCGATGCATGCATATGATGTAGTGACCTTTTTACAATCTTCTGTCTTTCCCCTCTTCAACAAAACCAGTTTTCAACTATCTGCTTACCCACATTTCCTTTAAGAGTAGATCACAACTTCCGGATCGACCAAGTTCATCGACATTCCTGCATGAGAGATGTTCCCAAAAAAATTCAAAAGAAGAAGGTCATCAGTAAATGCACCAACAAAAATAGACAAAGTTCACCAAAAATAATAACTAACAGCCTAATGCTTTTTCTCCACTTTTTCTTCCTTTTGTGTACATATGTGTGTGTGTGTATGAATCTAACTCTAAGAGTCAATACAGAAAGAAAATATACATTTTCTCACCGAATACAAGTTAATCAGTACGAATCACCATTGACTAGAAAACATCCCTCCCACTCCCACGTCCACGCACCACGACTCGTTCCTCACTAGGGTACACATCACTCTGCCTATACTCCTTAGTCCTTGGCCAACCTCTAACTGGGGATCGACTCCTAGCCTTCACCACACGAGAAGTGTCCGACTCCCAAGGAGACCACTCTCTCCTCTCCTTACAGTGATCAACACGAGAAGCCTCCGACTCCCAAGGAGACCACTCTCTCCTCTCCTTACCACCTCTTTGCTCCCAATCCCTAGCCATGGGAGGAGAACCATTATACCTGCTGACCTCATTTCTTGACGGTGGGCCCCAGCCTCGAACCCTGCTAGTGGAATGATCAAACGGGCCCCTTCCAGGCGGAGAGGAGTAAGCAGTAAAACGTGGCCTGCCACAACTGTTGCAGCTGTCACGTCTGGCGAAATTCAGATTCTCGCACGTGGGGTCCGCGCAGATCCAGTCACCTTCCCTCGGCCGCACGTTTGGATTGTTTCTGTTGCTAATTTTATGACTTGGACCCTGGGATCTCAACGGCTGAGGCTCACGTGCAGAAGCAGAACCAAACCTACCAAAATCATCCTTAACATGGCGTTCGTATGGGGGAGAGGGAGAGTAATCGCGATACCTGCCTCGGGGTTCTCTCTTGTTTACAGGCCCACGGGAAAATGGTGGGCCTCTTCTGTCAGAGGGATTACTAAAGCGGCGATTGTGACGAACGGGAGATATAGAGCGAGAGTGAGTTCTTCTATATGGTCTGCTTCGAGAGTACGGGGGAGCCGGGGCGCGGTGAAGCTCGTCGGTTCTGTAGTCAGTGCTGGTGCGCACGACGAGACTGCTCAAGTGATGGGGGGTCGTTTTGTCCTTCTCTTGTGAACCCATATTCGTCTCATATGTCGGGATCCTATGCACGGAGCACGAGAAGTTAACTTGCTTTATTAGTTATGGGGAGAAGTTTTAGGTGGTACGGATGATTGAATATAGCAATCAAGAGGAATGAAGTTTTAGGATATATCTCACTTGACATCATCATAACATTTAGAAATGATTCTTGAAAATGTTTTACCTTAACCTTAAGATGGAATAGAAGGTTTTGTTTAGCATACTTATACCTCATCAAACCTCAAGGTCACAGAGAGAAAAAAAAAAAATAAAAATAAAAATAAAAAAAAAGACCCAGAACCAGTCCTTTCAAGCCTCACGAGCCAGTCATATTCCAGAAAATTACATAAAATAAGCAACCACTTAAAAGTTAAAATACAGTAAGAAATTTGTGTTGTCAAAAGTTAGGCTAATATAGACACATCAAGTATGCAAGCTGACAGCCATGGCTCCTGAGATTCACTTGTAAAAATCATGTAAACAGGCTGAGTACTGAACCAATTCCAGTCTTAGTACAAGGTGTGGCAGATCCAGTTGATTGATTATTTTTAACAGCAACCTTGAGTCCAGAATTCGACGGATTAACCAAAACACATCTGTTTATGAAGTTTTTTAAAGTATGACATTTTATAATAAAAATATGCATATTAGTGAAAAGAGTATGCCGGCCAAACACAAGTACTGCCGTAACCAAAACTGACCACAAAAAATCATGTGAGCGTGCCTTAGTTATAAGGAAAAGAAAATGATAACCGAAATTGCGGAGAAGTTTATCAAAATCTTATTAATGCATTTGATCAAAATCGTGTAGCATAAAACCTCAATAATTTGACTGGAACCCTAATTTTCGGCTGGCATTCACATATAAAATCCCCTTTGCAGGGGTGTTGATACAGAACTTAGGAGGTTTTCCTTGTAATCACAACATTTCGGCAAACTGAGGGCTAATTATCGAAGGATTTTTTGCACATCCAAAATTTCCAAAAAATAGAGTTCGAAGATGAAAATTTTTTGCTGCAATTCTACAGCCACAACTCACAAGTCTAAATTCGCTAGGTTCTAACACTTCAAAAGACAGAACGACGCAAAAATATAACAGATGGAAAAATAGAAATGCACCTACAAATCGGCGGCGGGGGGAGGGGAGATGGGCGGCGGCTGGTGCTGGCCGCCGTGAGTGACGGGGCACCTGAAACTTTGATTGTGATTTTTGTGGTGTTTGTACGAGAAAATGCCCTAGGAGCAGTTGTGGAAACTGGAAAGACGAAGACCCCCCGGGTTTAAGGTTGCAGGCGGGTTTGCTGACTGGAGCGAGTCGGGCAAGATCCACGGGCTAAGTTTGTCTTTTATTATGGAACTTGTTGGGCCAAACCCCAGAACAGAAATTGTTACCCAGATATTTATTTCTAGAATTTAACTTTTAGGCCTATATGAATTATGAATACATCGCCACACCAATATATTAATTGATTTCAGAAATATATAATTATAGACTTATTTTTTTAATAAATATACATAAAGATAACAAAAAATATATTTTACTTTTAATTTTATACTCAATATTAATAATAACTAGTAATCAACCTGTACATTTACACAGAGAAAAATACTTTAAAAAAATAACAATATATATAAAAAAAAAATCATAATTTAATTCGTGAAAAAAATATGAATTAAGAAAATAATTCTCAAAATTGATTTTAATCAAGTAATTGCTATGGAAGAGCCGTTACAACTATTTTCTTTATGTTACATCCGGCCATTTTCATGAGTGGGTGTGACTTAAAATTTGTGTACAATTTTGTAACTCCCTTGATTGGTTTATTCTTATAATTTATGACATTTAAGCAAGTTATTTTGTAACTTAAAAATGAAATTGAATGTTGAAAATTTTGGAGGGATAATAAAATTTAATGCATGATAATATAATTAAATGATATGTTGCTCCTCTTTATATATATATATAGATATACCACATAAATATACACACATAATTTTTATTTTAATTTTAAAATATATAAATAAATTTTATTTTTAAAATTTAAAATATATACACAGTTTAAAAAATAAAAAATAATGCTTGATTAAACATGTTGACTAGATCAGGTCAATGCTCCGGTCAAACCGTTCATAGCAGGGGTGGGTTTGAGTAGACTGGTCCGAATGACCTTCGCTAATCTGGTGTGGATCAACCTATCATATCGGTCAAAAACATTAATATTAGTTAGCCTAGTACAATGCCCGTGTATTAATTTTAAAATTTATACTTAATTTGAAGAAAAAAATAGAAAACAATAAACTTCTACAAAGATATACTATTATTTCAGTTTAAATGACATTCCTCTCCCATATAACTCATTCGTCATATATTATAATAACTTTTCAACTCATATTATAAAATAAACGTGAAAAATAAATTTATTATCATCCAATTATAATTTAATTAGAAAGACAATTTTTATAGACTAATTCTATTTTTTACATGCCATATGATTTTTTTAAAAGACTCAATATATTGTAGGTGCTCTAATGTCCTGGCGATGTAACCCTGTTGTCTATTTCACCATCGTTTTAATAAGCTAATCTAAATCAGCTTTGGTATAATAATATACACTACAAGAAAATGATGAAATTCCAACGGAAATATATTCCAATAGAATTCCAACGGCAATTCCAATGGATATTGCGATGTTATTATTTTCGTTGGAATGATTCCAACGGAAAGTTCTAAAAAAATATTTCGTTGGAATGAGTTTTTGATCGGTCGAAAAATGTGCGCGTTTTATATATTTAGTAGTGTATTTTTATACACTATATTTATTCGCATGTTTATATTTTTTTCGACTTAATTATTATTTGGATGGATTCATACACATTGATATTTTTATATTTATTTTCAGCTCATTGAAATATTTTGTGGATCCGGAACATTGAACGAGTGATCGCGAGGTTGGGCCCCCAGATTATTTACGGCCCAAACACATGATTAGAAGAAGAAATAAAGCCCAATTACAAAAAATGATCCACGCAATCACTTTAAAGAATACAATTCAGAGGAGTTTGATTAGGTGGGGCCGCAGGACTTAGGAATTTATTTGGATTAGACATATAATTTGGAGAGAGTCCACAAATGCTTGGACACATACATAAGCAAGGATTTAATTGGTGGACAATACATAGACGGACAAAAAAAAAATTATATTACGAATTGGAGATTGCGAAGACAGAAGGGACGCCAGGCACAGAAAACAGAAAAGCCGAGAGCCACTCACGTACCGGGAAAGAGGCTACACACGCGGAGGGAAGCCGCACTCGCACGCGAGGGAGATTTTATTCCCTCTCTTTTATTTAGTATTTATTTTTTTAGTATGTTAGGTTAATATTTTTATCCAGTTTGAGGGGATGTTTGAACCCTAATTTCAGTTTGTCTATGAATTGAATGATCTATTTTTTATCGTTGATTAATCGAGACGCCGTATTTATTTTTGTTGATGAGTTGATTCATGTTATCTGTGTATAATGTTTATGAATTATGGTGTTTGATTTAGTCTGGCCAACTACGTTAAATATTCATAGTTTAATTGCTAGATTCGAGGCTTTAATCCGTAATTGTTATTGTCTCGTTTCGTTAGTAGTAAACTAGGGGTCGTGCATCTCTAGGGTAGCATGAGCATAAGTTAAATGGTCCGAGCTTTTGCGTCCATTGCTTAAACTGATCTATTTTCCTAGGAATTAATGCTGCTAGTGTATTAAATCTAGAGAGCTTATTCTAGGTTGTCCGCTAGTTAGGTTTAGTCGAAGAGCTTATTTCGATTAAATATTCGGTAAGGGAAAATTCGGTTAACAGAGCTTGTTGTTAGCTAGGGTCGGTAATTCATTAGCAGTTTAGAGAAAGCGTCGAAATTAATTAATGGTAGATTTAGATTGGGTGATAACTGAACCGAAAACTGGACTTCTCTCATTTTATTTGATTTTTATTTTATTTTCTTATTTTTATTTTTATTTTTATAAAACCAATCCCCCCATATTTATTTGCTTTCTTAGTTTAGTTCAATTAATACGAGATTGTCACAATTTAATTCCTGCTCCTCGTGGGATCGACCCTTACTCGCTGCTACTACTAGTTAGTAGAGGTTAGTTGAGGAAAAATTATAAATTTAAATTTGCCGCGTCGCGACGCGCGGTCAAATTTTGGCGCCGTTGCCGGGGAGTGGCGCAATTGAGTTGTGATTTTTTTAGTATTAATTGAATTAGGTAATTAGATTAGTATTTATTTTATTATTATTATTATTTTTTTTTCTTTGACTCTTTTAATCCCCCTATTTTTCTTTTTCCTTTTGTTTTCTTTTACAGGTGGTACTTATTATAAATGGATGCGTATTGGAGTCCGGAATGTGCTTACGCTTACGATTCATATTATGAAATGAAAAAGAGGGAAATAAGAGACCAACATCGTGAGGCTAGGATGTCGGCTATGATCCAAGAAGCCATTGAGAGTGTTCGTCAAGTTCTAAGGAAACCATGTCGTCTATGTCATACCACAAGACACGTCACCGATGATTGTCCACTTTTGATCGAGAGGTATGGTGCACGTAGAGCTACCGAGAGAGATTGGTATCGACAAGACGGTTGGGCGTATTCAAATTCCGATAGGGACCATTACAGTTGGGGAGATTGTGGAAATTCATTCTATAAAAATCTACGATATTCTCGATCGTATGAGCCTAGTTATGAGTACGATGATTCTCAATTCCACTATGGAGGCTCACAATATTTTTCAGAACCTTCGCTTGAACAAGAGACTAGTCCATCGTTGATGAAGTTATTGGAAGAGTGTCAAAATTCTTTGATGGCTAGTAGCAAAACGATTGGTGATCTATTGAGCGAATTGGATGCCCGAGCCAAGAGTCGGCTAGCCGAAGCCAGCCACGATGATGACGGAGAGCTTAGGATGAGCAGCAACACGGAGCTTGAGGTGCTGGACGAAGTTAGCTTTGAGCCGATAAACGATCGAAGCGACGAAGAGAATGAAGAAGAAGGCGATGAGGAGAAAATTTTCGCTGTTACCGGCCCCCCCGATAAAAACCTGGTAGCATTTACTACTGCTATCGGGGCCCCCGATAACAGCCCACTCGAAGGTGACAATGACGTAAAAGCTCCGACAATTGCCCCGAGCATGACTGAAAATCAATCTCTTCTATTCGAGATCAAACAACCAGCAGCCGAGAATGTTGAGAATCAAGAGCCATACATCCTGGAGGTAGTAGAGATTTTTCCTCTTATCCATGAGCCCGGGCTAATCTTTTACCATGATCATTTGCCACCTAGACGAAAAGATCCGGTTAAGCACCCGACACCGGACGAGGGGATCTTTAAGAAGCATGGTGCTACAAGGTTCGTGCCTCCTTTGAGGCCACCTATGAAGCCGCCATGGACCGCTTGAAGAAAGCGGAGTAATAAGTCGAGCCAACGACACTTAAAAAAAAGGCGCTTGTTGGGAGGCAACCCAATGGTGTGCGACGTGACTTCTTCTCTTGGATAAGGTGAACTCTTTCCTTTTACTTTGTATTTTGTTCTCTTATGTGCAAACTCTAAGTTTGGGAAGATTCATTAGAGTGAGATATATTTGTGTGAGTTGTTGAGTTGTGCTCTATTTTAATTGTTGGAGTATATGTTACTTGTATGTGGAATTTCGCAATGATGATGTGAGAGCCTTTGTTGGAATATTATGCTAGTTATGATGACTTGGGTTAATGATTTCTGATTAAATTCTTGAAGTGTTGTCATTTGAGGGACAAAGGCATGACAGTTGATATTTATGTGTTTTATTCGTAGTGAGTTGGTCTTGAACTGTTTATATTCTTGAAATGTGCTGGTGACTATTCTGCTTGATGTCGATTGTGTGAGGTAACTTGACGTGGAAAGTTGGGAGTTGATTGTCTCGAAAAAAAAAAGAAAAAAAAGAAAAAAAAAGGAAAAGAAAAATGATTGTGGGCTGCAACAGCTGCCAGTCTGTGAAGCTTTAGTGCAACACTCTAGCACGAATAGCTAAATAGACTGTGACGGAGCTGCCGTTCCCAAGTCAAAAAAAAAAGGAAAAAAAAGGAAGAAAAAAAAAGGAAAAAAAAGGAAGAAAAAGAAAAAAAAATCGAGACATTTGATTTCTGGCTAGAAGCGAAGAGAAACTAAACCGGTTGGCAAAGAAAGGGATGTCGTTAGTTGCATGATTGGTATACTCAGTGAAAAGATTGATAAGCTGCGGTAATTCACTACATTGATATTTGATTGTTGGCGTTCTAAAGATGATTTCATTTCGAGTCCGGGGTTATTAATTTCGGAAGTTGTAGCTATGCATTTATATGTGAGATGTGTGAGGACCTGAGCAAATATTCCACATACTTGTATATATCCATCTATGTGCTTTAGTTCTAAGTTGCTTGGGGACAAGCAACAGTTTAAGTTTGGGGAGATTTGATCGGTCGAAAAATGTGCGCGTTTTATATATTTAGTAGTGTATTTTTATACACTATATTTATTCGCATGTTTATATTTTTTTCGACTTAATTATTATTTGGATGGATTCATACACATTGATATTTTTATATTTATTTTCAGCTCATTGAAATATTTTGTGGATCCGGAACATTGAACGAGTGATCGCGAGGTTGGGCCCCCAGATTATTTACGGCCCAAACACATGATTAGAAGAAGAAATAAAGCCCAATTACAAAAAATGATCCACGCAATCACTTTAAAGAATACAATTCAGAGGAGTTTGATTAGGTGGGGCCGCAGGACTTAGGAATTTATTTGGATTAGACATATAATTTGGAGAGAGTCCACAAATGCTTGGACACATACATAAGCAAGGATTTAATTGGTGGACAATACATAGACGGACAAAAAAAAAATTATATTACGAATTGGAGATTGCGAAGACAGAAGGGACGCCAGGCACAGAAAACAGAAAAGCCGAGAGCCACTCACGTACCGGGAAAGAGGCTACACACGCGGAGGGAAGCCGCACTCGCACGCGAGGGAGATTTTATTCCCTCTCTTTTATTTAGTATTTATTTTTTTAGTATGTTAGGTTAATATTTTTATCCAGTTTGAGGGGATGTTTGAACCCTAATTTCAGTTTGTCTATGAATTGAATGATCTATTTTTTATCGTTGATTAATCGAGACGCCGTATTTATTTTTGTTGATGAGTTGATTCATGTTATCTGTGTATAATGTTTATGAATTATGGTGTTTGATTTAGTCTGGCCAACTACGTTAAATATTCATAGTTTAATTGCTAGATTCGAGGCTTTAATCCGTAATTGTTATTGTCTCGTTTCGTTAGTAGTAAACTAGGGGTCGTGCATCTCTAGGGTAGCATGAGCATAAGTTAAATGGTCCGAGCTTTTGCGTCCATTGCTTAAACTGATCTATTTTCCTAGGAATTAATGCTGCTAGTGTATTAAATCTAGAGAGCTTATTCTAGGTTGTCCGCTAGTTAGGTTTAGTCGAAGAGCTTATTTCGATTAAATATTCGGTAAGGGAAAATTCGGTTAACAGAGCTTGTTGTTAGCTAGGGTCGGTAATTCATTAGCAGTTTAGAGAAAGCGTCGAAATTAATTAATGGTAGATTTAGATTGGGTGATAACTGAACCGAAAACTGGACTTCTCTCATTTTATTTGATTTTTATTTTATTTTCTTATTTTTATTTTTATTTTTATAAAACCAATCCCCCCATATTTATTTGCTTTCTTAGTTTAGTTCAATTAATACGAGATTGTCACAATTTAATTCCTGCTCCTCGTGGGATCGACCCTTACTCGCTGCTACTACTAGTTAGTAGAGGTTAGTTGAGGAAAAATTATAAATTTAAATTTGCCGCGTCGCGACGCGCGGTCAGTTTTCGATTGGAATTTCTGTTGGATTTTGACGATTCTAACGATAGATTTTCTAACGATGGTGGAATTAAAAATTCCAACGAAAATTCCTACGGTGAAAAGCCGTTGGAAATATAGCCGTTGGAATCATCAAATTCCATATAAAATTCCAATGAAAAATACATTCCAACGGAATATTTTCGTTGGAATTTCTGTTGAAATCATATACTATTGGAATATCCGTTGGAATTTCCATTAAAATATATTACCATAGGATTTTCTGTTGGAATATAACAATTTTTTTGTAGTGATATTAGCGATAAGTTTCCCGGTACGGATCTTATAGGGGACAAGATTGGATATAATTAATTGTAAAATTTAATTATGGGCAAAATATTTTGTGGTGGGAAACGACTGGTCAAGGACTAATTTTACAGGTTATTTTTCTATAAGCATTCTATTCTGGTTATGATTGCTCCATATCAATTATATCAAACTATATGCTCTGATAGTCACCTACTTATATTATTATATAATTAGTTTAGGTTTAGCATTTTTCATGATTCACGCGTCCATTAACAAATAGGCCTTGATTTCAAGTACTCTGCCAATGGGTAAACTCCAATTTTATTAACACATGCAATTACAAAGCATATACACGATGAGCATCCTTTCTAGTACGTAAAAGCAACAAATTTAAATGAATGAGTTTTTCCAATCTGTATATATCTACTTGATTTGAACCCAAATGCCCTGGCTAGGAACCTCCCTATAAACCACAAATAGAAGATAGTACCCGGGAGGTGCAATAATACTTGAACCCGGTGTCGTGACCTGAATTCGATAACTTGATCTGCCGAGAGACGTCACAATGCCACTACTATTGTTTCCATTGTTAAGAACCAATAGTCTTTGATTCATCGAAAACGAGTGTGTCGCGAATGGGGGCGCCACCATTGTTACCGTGACGAAATCATTGTTTAATCTGGCTTGAGCGGTAAAAGTTATAACGAGTTGTTGTCCGTATCCTAGTTTAGAATGAGAAGCCGGAGAAATGATTCTAGGGCGTACACGGGCAAACCGTCGATCTAAATAATCCGGTGAAAACGCTTCCATCGTTAGATCCGTGGGGAAGCGCACGCCCGTAAAATTATAATACGCATGGGGATTGCTTCCGCTGACTAGGACGCGCCCATCTCGAACAAGAACTGCAGTTGAGTGGTACATGCGAGGTATAGAACTCGAGTTTTGAGTTTCGAATCTTAACCTCGATGGATTATTAGGTCTGTATATAACGGGTGTTAATACTGGGTTACGGGCCGAATCCCATCCGGACGTGCCAGAAGCAGCTCCGTTAACGATGAGGACATTGCCATTTGGTAGTAACACCATATCACCCATGACTCGAGCCAACGGCATTCGTTCCACAACCCATTGCGGATTCGAATCAGTTATTTTGATCCTCCCACAAGTATTTAGCGCTGCAACGAAACTTCCGTTATTCGCACTAGTAAAAGATCCCCTCGGTGCACCACCACACACTAAAACTTCGGCCGTGATATTAGCACCTCTTTCGAATACCCTGAGTGGAAGCAAAACAGCAGAGCCCGAACTCGGGTAGTTCCTCGGATCCCCACCCGGAATGGTCGGGTAGTTTTTCACGACCACACTATTTGCGTAATCAAACAAGATCGCTCGATTGTTGACGAAGATGAATAAATTACCATCCACATTCAAGAAAACAAATGGGTACAAATTGTTCTCGGACCTTGGATCGTTAGTTTGCGAAAGGAATGGCAGATTATACGACTCGTCGGCCCCGACTCTTTTGGGGTAGAATTCATAAGTGAATTGCCTACGACCGCCGACGATTATTTGCCTTCCATCCGGCAAAATGTGATTGGAGGCATACCACCTCCTTTGTCTAAGTACACTATCGAACTCTTGCCAATCACAAGAATTGTCCGAGCACGGTGTGATAACTCTCACGTTGCGTTCACCATCATTGAATCCTCCGGTTTGCATTAACGAGCCGTCGGGCATTGCACCACCGGACGAGCACCATACATCCGTGAAAACATATAAGGGACGAATGGAGTTGGAGGAGACATCATACTCAACCGAGTGGGCTGTGCAGTCGATCTTTAGGGTTAGGTCTCGTGGATTGTTGCGGCACCGGTTATTCGGAAGGGAAATGTTGGATGCTCCGAAATCCGTGCGGTCGAATATGATGACACGATCGTTGTTGAGAAGCTGCATGTGCATGGCAGAGACGCCGATGTTTGAGAGAAGGAGGTCCCACTTGCCACCTCCAGGGGCAGCAAGCGCGGCCGGGATTATAAAGATTAGTGTGAGAAGGAGAGGGAGAGGGGATGAAGAGAAGGTGGTTGGATTATTAGTAGCCATGAAATTGTTATTTTTCTTACTTCACATATGAATGTGAAGTTTGGTAGTTTGGTTTTGGGTTTGTGGTGATGAAGAGAGTTTGCTTAGGGTTTAAATAGGAAACAATTTTCCAAGCTTTAACTAAATAAACAATATGTTAATTAGTTGAGTATACATAGGCTAGAATTATATATTCACATTTTGAGAATGAATTCTGCAATTGGAAAGCCATTCGTACATAAAAAAAGATTGACCGTGTGGGCAGTAGCTAGACAATATCTGGGATTGACTTTTGTGTGTTCATAACATCTTTCGGCCAACTGTAATTAGACGTGGGAGGGTGTTAATGATAAAAAATAAGTCAACAATTAATCAAAGTATTTTATCCAGATAATGATTGATTTATGTTCATTTGGTACCAAAGCACATGTATTTAAATATCCATTAATTTATTCTTAATTAGATTAATTTGTTGTATCTGCTAATCATTGATGGGAATATATGTCCATTGGTTGTATATATGGTACAAAAAAGAAAATCATAATTACGTGTGGTCAAACATTTTTAGAAAATAATCTCCATGTATACGTGTGGTCTCGTGCGGTGCATCGCTGTGAAAATTGGACATTTAAAATAGTATAATTAGTTATGTGCGTGTTTTATAGGTGACAATTGGAAAACAATTTAAGATACTGAGTTGAGTTGAAAAACATACCAACCGTCATGGTTTTAAAACTATTATGTGGAGAAAGATAATGAGTTCATTGAGTTGGAAAACATACCAACCGTCATGTCAGCTGGGGCCGGGAAAAAAAAAAGGTATGAAAAAAATTGATAATATTATAATGGTTTTCTTTGAACCACGATCCACCGGTGGCAAAATTGAATTCATGTAGTTACATCCTAAATGATTTATTGTTCCACGCATGATCAATATTCTTTAAATTAGACAATATATTATTCGTGATACAATCCTAGTTCAGCTAAATTGGATCTGTAAGCTCGAAGACAACTTGTTATCGACAGGGACGGATCCAGAAATTATGAGTACACTTGACTACAATTTTAAAAACTTATTTTCACAAAAATCACATAATATTTTTCTTCAAATATTCAATGAAGTTGTGCTCGTCGAGTTTCTTTATGCTCATTTTGCACCGAATTTGATGTGTTTCACTAGTTTGACGTCGATCCCATTTTTTAAAGAATGATGATATCGATAGGGTGTTTCTTTTCAGGGCGACGGTTGATGCTCCATGTGAATTTCTAAAAATTGCACAATACAAGTAAATAGATTTTTCATATGGCATAGTTATTAACAAAATGAATTGCCTACACATCACAAATTTATATCCAACTATGATATACAACAACCACACTAGAGGATAAGAGATTAAAACACACACATACACACACAATTATTACTTCAAACACAATCATTAAAACAAGAATTGCAACCAAGATCCTAGCAATAACTATTAAAACACTAAATAACTCAATCAAAATGAGAAGATAGACAAAGACAATTAGACAAATAAAATAAATATCTAATAGGGGATTTAAAAATATAGCTTACTATTAAAGAAAAAATTAAATCGTTTTCATGAAAGTAGCTCTTTCTTGTTGAATAATTTTTTTTCTTCTAAATTCATTATTTTGGTGTTCAGATGAAGGGCATGACCGTGGCTAATTTATTTGATTGAAGTTTGGTGTATATTATTAGAGTGGTGTTAGTAGTCTTTGGACTTAATAGATAGTGAATTATTTTGGTGGGTTTGTAAGTTAGTTTAATCGACTGGGCTAGAAATACAATATTTTTTTTTTCAAACTAATAATTGTTAAAGAAAAAAATAACAGGTCTGGGCTGAAGCCCAGCCCAGTCCAAAGATAGATTCGTCCATGGTTATTGAGGTTAGACGGTTCAGGGCTAATGTAGCCTTAGCTCGGTTGGACCAGAGTCATCAAATCGAATATGAGCTATGGAGCTCTAATAGGTGCAGACCAGAGTTGGTACATCAAAACCTCCTAACCGGCTAGAAATGACTCGCTCGAACTCTGCCTCGCCGGTTGAACGTTGAATACTGCAAAGAACTCTCACACTGAAGGGATTTTCGGTGAATAGCCTCTGATGCTTAAGTCTGTATAAGCTCTACTCAATTCTCAAGAGTATAATGGATAAATCGTGCGTAAATCATAAGGCTCATCCCTATATAGGGGTGAGATACTTGCTGCCCGGATGATCTGAGGTGGTTTCCCAAAGCTTCCCAGTCTGCCCGGTTGTACAACACATGCTGAATGTGTGTCAGTGATGTGTCAGAGACGGTTATGCTATATGACCCAATCAGGTCATGCCACGTGTCTTCCTCGTTTGGGGGCTTGATTCCTCTGAGATCTCCTTGAAGGCTCTTATGCTCGACCACATCCAGATCGATCCTCTGACTGCTCTGAGTATGGCAAATGGTCGATCAGACGACCGTTTGTGGCACAGGTTAATCTTCGACCAGGCCCTCCATAGGTCTGGGTTTGACATGCTCTCTAAATGCCGGAGTCCCCTTGAAACTATCTTTCCACTCCAGAGGCTCTTGCTCGTATGATATTCGACCACGACCGCCCCACTCGTATTCTATCTGATATTTGATATATATAATTATTCAAATGTCTAAGCAAATTGATATGATAATTTATATATAAAAAATTTTAAATGTATATTATTATATTAAAAAACAAAATTCTGGTGTGTAAATTGTTGAAAGAAAGTTTTTTGGGGATTTTTTTACAAAATTTTATGATATTTTTAATTTTATTTATTTATTGTGAGTGCTACTATTCGTTGTTTATTATCGGTTTAGTTTTTGTCTCAAAGCTAAATTTTCTATCAAAGTTTGTTATATACATAAAATGTTGTACTGTGGTGAAAAGAAAGTTTTTTTAGAGGCGTTTTTACTTCTTTTTACGAGCTTTTAATTTTTTTTCATTTTCGCGTGTGTAGAGCTGTACACGAAATTTTGATTCTTTTTTTGGTCTCAAAACAAAATTTTTATTATTAAATATTGTTACATACATAAAAATGATGGTGTACTATGGTGAAATAAAATTTTTTATGGCTTTTTTCCATTATTTGCCAGTTTTTAATTTTTATTTCCGCATGTAAATCTGTACACGAACTTTTGTTCATGTTTTTTCGTCTCAAAACTAAATTTTTAATATTAAAACTTATTATGTACATAAATGATGGTGTATTGTGGTGAAAGAAAGTTTTAGAGGCTTTATGTACCATTACTCATGAGTTTTTTTATTTTTTGCATTTTCGTGTGTAAAGATGTACACGGATATTGCTCTTTTTCTTTTGTCACAAAACTAAATTTTTTACTATCAAAATTTGTTATAACGGCGTCAAAATTGCAACAACAAAAATAGTAAAGGACTACTTTTGCTACATTTAGGATCAAAGTTGCTACGCAGACAATCATGCAGGACTAAATTTGTAATTTTCTCTTTTTCAACCTAACGATTACATGCGCACCTTACAATCTCATTACTTTTCACGGGGTTAGGACTAAATTTACAACAAAAATTCAAAAAGAACTGATTATGCAATTCGTGGGACCAATTTTGCAACAAGCCCATCCCACGGGTCCAAATATGCAATTCCTTCCTATTTGATCGTCTTGTTTAGTATCATTTTCCAATCACCACATCTAAAAAAGTTTCACATAAATTATTAAGTTGTTTTTCTTTTTCAATCCTATATATCAACTATAGTTTCTTATTAACATTAATTCTGTGTAAGTATTGAATAACTCACCATCGCGCAACTTTTGTTAACCTAATAATAAGTACATTTTCTTAGAGCATCTCCAATGTGAGATGTTGATTTAATAATATGTTAACCACATCATCAAGTTATAAAGTGAGTATAAAAATTACTCTCCAATCCATAATGTTATAGGCTCTTTTATGCTGACATGGACAGATTAAATTTCCAAACTGTTAAGCCCACTTTCTAGTTTTCTAAAGTCTGTTTGAAAGCCAATTCATCAAAAATTTAACCTATTTCATCCCTACGGCTGGGAAAAACTTTGGCGGGGACGATAACGCTAATTTCAGAGATTCACCTCCTTTGAAATCTCTCTCATTCTTTTTGCAGATTTGTTCATCAGAACTAAGCTCGAAGGAAAATCTAGGTATGGGGCTTTTGTTTATTACCTTTCTTTTTATCGATTATTTATTATTATTGATTTGTTTTTTGAAGTTTCTGAACAATCTAGTTACTTCCTCCGGTCAGAGCTTTTTTTTTCCTAAATTTGAAATTTTGCAGTTTCCTGTGTTTTATCTTTTGTGCTACAATATGTGTTTACCCGGCATCCAAAATTGATGGATTGTGACATTTATATGAAGAATCATGTGATTACGAAATCAGAGTTTGTGGGTTTTGAGCGTTGAATGTAGGATTTATTGAAATTTGAGCTTTCTTTGTTTTAGTTTATTAATATCTATATATATATAATTGCTAGCTAATCCCATTTAATAAAACATTTAATAAAAATATTTTCACTTTCCCTCCAAAAGAAGTTACATTTTTTTTAATTAATTACTCATTAATCTCACATTTAAGAAGATTTTTTATAGTTAAATTTAATTAGTTAATGACTAAATTAAAAAGATTTATTTTAATTAATCCCACATTTATGTTAAGTACAGTATTATCTTAATATCTTATCAGTTTTTCAAAAAAATAGTAACTTTTTTCAATAAATTTTATAAAAATTAGTCAAATGTGCTTATATTCATATAAATCAGAAAAAAAAATTAAATCTTAGATATATAAAAGGAACATCATTGGAATAACTTGAATCCGCAAGGGTAATTCTATACTCATTATCAATTACTTTAAATTTTTTGTGTATATTGTTCATGTGTGATTTTACACCATATTTATTGAGTATCTAGAGCTTAGTCATTGCATTATTGGTGTTTAAATTGCACATTTATGCTTTAATTCTATATTTGTTGGAAAGGTA